GTACGACAATAGTAATCATCCAAAAACTGTGTAACTGTTTCTGGATACACTTACAGTCGAACCCCATTTTTCGTCCGGTCACGTTATCGTACAGTTCAATTTTCGACCACTTTTTCGGCGAAATTTCTACGTTTTCGTACATCAGCTCGGAAATCGTCTGGTCGTCCTCCTACCCACGGGACGCGGCCGCTCATACGTTTGTGACTCAGTCTGCCTTTGTTACTTATTCAGTGAGGAAGAGAGATGGGAGAATGAGCTTTCTTCATCAGTTAAGAACATTTGTGTAAAGTGGAGCGAGGTGCAAGTTTTGTGGAGAAATATCACCCTAACAAAGCTGTTGCAAGCCGTGTCAGCAACATTTCAGTGATAATGCTGTGTCCCATGTTAGGCAAATCTTAGAGGACGCCAGAAACAGGCCTCTCTGGGCAGATTTTTTTGTGCGACAGGGGTCCAGGGGACTCTCAAACTGGTTCTAGTGCCAATAAAGACATAGAAGGGAAGTAACCTTGGTTAGGGCTTTGATACCTGAAGTCCTTATGGAGGGGGATTTCCCTTCCAAACAATAACCTCTCCTCCCTCTCCCTTCCTCGCCAGCTTCCATACGCCAACAAGAGTCTTCAGTAAAGATAAAAGTGATGTTAAATGTTCATTTATTCATTTCATTAGCCATATTTATTTCTCATTGTTTTCTCCTGTATGTAAAACTATATTTATTCTCTATAAAATGTATATTTTGTTAATATTTTTGGGTGTATGGAACGGTTTAAATTTGGAATTACATTATTTCCTATGAAAAATATTACTTCAGTTGTCGCACAAATCGGTTTTCGGCCAACCTTCTGGAACGAATTAAAGACGAAAACTGGGGTTCCACTATACTTAGAGATAAGAGTGGAGTGTACTGCATGGCAATGAATTTTCTCTAAAGCAGTTTATTCGTGTCAATTACTCCAGTGTCAATTGCATACCGTAGTCCACTTTATAGAAATAAAGGAGTTTGCTTGTTTGTTTTGTTTAATGCCCTCATGTAGTCGATAAGCTTCGAACCTCGCAAACCAAGTAACAAGGATGAATCTTAGGACACATGCAGCATTGCCTGCCGGCAACAGTTGCACCAAATCGCTCGTATGTACTGAAGAACTTAATGCTAAATATTACAGATAAGTAATACATAGAACTTTGGTATTATTACCTGGAGAGAGTTTCGGGAGTCAACGCCCCCGCGGCCCGGTCTGTGACCAGGCCTCCTGGTGGATCAGCGCCTGATCAACCAGGCTGTTGCTGCTGGCTGCACGCAAACCAACGTACGAGCCACAGCCCGGCTGATCAGGAACTGACTTTAGGTGCTTGTCCAGTGCCAGCTTGAAGACTGCCAGGGGTCTGTTGGTAATCCCCCTTATGTGTGCTGGGAGGCAGTTGAACAGTCTCGGGCCCCTGACACTTATTGTATGGTCTCTTAACGTGCTAGTGACACCCCTGCTTTTCATTGGGGGGATGGTGCATCGTCTGCCAAGTCTTTTGCTTTCGTAGTGAGTGATTTTCGTGTGCAAGTTCGGTACTAGTCCCTCTAGGATTTTCCAGGTGTATATAATCATGTATCTCTCCCTCCTGCGTTCCAGGGAATACAGGTTCAGAAACCTCAAGCGCTCCCAGTAATTGAGGTGTTTTATCTCCGTTATGCGCGCCGTGAAAGTTCTCTGTACATTTTCTAGGTCGGCAATTTCACCTGCCTTGAAAGGTGCTGTTAGAGTGCAGCAATATTCCAGCCTAGATAGAAGATAGAACAAGTGACCTGAAGAGTGTCATCATGGGCTTGGCCTCCCTAGTTTTGAAGGTTCTCATTATCCATCCTGTCATTTTTCTAGCAGATGCGATTGATACAATGTTATGGTCCTTGAAGGTGATATCCTCCGACATAATCACTCCCAGGTCTTTGACGTTGGTGTTTCGCTCTATTTCGTGGCCAGAATTTGTTTTGTACTCTGATGAAGATTTAATTTCCTCATGTTTACCTTTATCTGATTTAATTGAAATTTCTATCTTTTGAACTTCATATTGTTTCTGGCCACTGAAAGATTCGGTTGATGTCCGCCTGGAGCCTTGCAGTGTCTGCAATGGAAGACACTGTCATGCAAAATTCGGGTGTCATCTGCAAAGGAAGACACGGTGCTGTGGTTGACATCCTTGTCTATGTCAGTATGAGGTGAGGAACAAGATGGGAGCGAGTACTGTGCCTTGTGGAACAGAGCTTTTCACCGTAGATACCGTTTTCTGCCTTGGATTTTTCTTTGGGGAAAAATTTTTTTTACTTTCAGTCCTTCAATTCTGTTTGTCTGTCTCTGTCTCTTTGTCTCTGGCTTTATCTCTCTCGTCTCATGCAGTGACCAAAAAAAAAAAAAGTCTAGTTTCCATTGATCAGTTTCTTGTGATCCTCTTCCCCAGGGTGCAACCCACGACAGTCTGCTGACACTCAGGTAGCTACTTGAGTGTCAGTGAAACAATCCCAACGTTTCTACTCTACTAAGGATTGAATCCATGTCCTTCACTTGTGCCTCGTGTCAGCGGGAAGGACAATACCGATAACGCCTAGTAAGGTATACCTCTAGAAATAATTTCATCTCTATCCCCGGCGAGGACGATTACGAAAATATAATCGTTCTAATACTCACCTAATTGTGGTTGCAGGGGTCGAGACTCAGCTCCTGGCCCTGCCTCTTCACTGATCGCTACTAGGTCCTCTCTCTCTCTCTGCTTCCTGAACTTTGCCCATACCTCGTCTTAAAGCTATGTATGGTTCCTGCTCCACTACATCACTTGTCAGACTATTTCACTTCCTGACTACTCTATGACTGAAGAAATACTTCCTAACATCCCTTTGATTTATCTGAGTTTTCAACTTCCAAGTGTGACCCCGTGTTTGTGTGTCCCTTTTGGGAAAACATCCTGTTTCTGACAATTTTTATCTATTCCACGCAGTATTTTGTATGTCGTTATCATGTCTCCCTGACCCTCCTGTCCCCCCGTGCCCGCCAGTCCGATTTCCCTCAATTTTTCCCTTTACGACATTCCCTGAGCTCTGGGACTAGCCTTGTTGCAAACCTTTGTGCTTTTTCTAACTTCTTGACGTGCTTGACCAGGTGTGGGTTCCAGACTGGTGCTGCATGCTCAAGTATGGGCCTGACGGGGTCTTGAAAAGACTCCTTACTAGGTATCGGAATGCTATTCTCAGGTTTGCCAGACGCCCATATGCTGCAGCAGTTATCTGGTTGATGTGTGCCTCCGGTGACGTGCTCGGTGTTATGGTCACCCCAAGATCTTTCTCCTTGAGTGAGGTTTGCAGTCTTTGTCCACTTAGCCTATACTCTGTCTGCAGTCTTCTTTTCCCTTCCCCATTCTTCATGACTTTGCATTTCAGAGTTGAATTCGAGAAGCCAATTGCTGGACCACATGTCCAGCTGTCCAGGTCTCTTTGTAGTCTGCCTGATCCTCATTTCCCATTTAATTCTTTCATTAACTTTACATCATCTTCGAACAGGGACACTTCAGAGTCTATCCCTTCCTTCATCTCATTCATATATACCAGAAATAGCACTCGTCCTAGGACTGACCCCCGGGGATCCCTCTCGTCACAGGCGCCCACTGTGATACCTATTCATGTACCATTATTCGTTGTTGCCTCCCTGCCAGGTATTCTCTGATCCACTGCAGTGCCTTTCCTATTATATGCGCCTGATCCTCCAGCTTCTGCACTTTAAACTCCTGGAGTTTACCTGGGAGAGTTTCGGGGGTCAACGCCCCCGCGGCCCGGTCTGTGACCAGGCCTCCTGGTGGATCAGCGCCTGATCAACCAGGCTGTTGCTGCTGGCTGCACGCAAACCAACGTACGAGCCACAGCCCGGCTGATCAGGAACTGACTTTAGGTGCTTGTCCAGTGCCAGCTTGAAGATCTCCTGTGAGGAACTGTGCCGAAGGCCTTCCTGCAGTCCAGGAAAATGCAATCGACCCACCCCTCTCTCTCTCTCTCTCGTGTCTTACTTCTGTTACCTTGTCATAAAACTCCAGAAGGTTTGTGACACAGGATTTGCCTTCTATGAATCCATGCTGGTTGTCGTTTATAATCTTGTTCCGTTCCAGGTGCTCCACCATTCTCCTCCTGATAATGTTCTCCATGACTTTGCATACTATACACGTCAGAGTTTAATGTTGATACTGGGGAATATATAGAATAACAGTCACTGAAGTGAAAGTGGGGGTTATAAGAAAAGATTTTGTTCGTATTTTGAATCCCGGAGGGTTAGTCACCCTGAATAAGCCAAGGAAGTCAGTGCGTCATCGAGGACAGAATACAATTAACTGACGAGCCATGAGCATTTATTTAAATCTAGAAAACCCCAAAAAAGTTTTCAGGTACAACATCTAGTTTCTGTCGCGCGTCGTGTTGTTTATGACGGTGACATTACCAAGGAGAGTGTGCGTGAGAGATTAGTCTCAGTTTATTAACAAAAATCAAACATGGGCGATTTAAAGTTATCCGTAAATTATTGTTTTCTATTACAGAGCGAATATTAAAAAAAGTTCAATTTTTTATGGTAAAATTAAGAAGTTTTTTTTGGGATTAAATATGTTAAATATATTTAGCTATTCATCGCATACTAAGAATGCAGCAGCAATCCAGGAGCTGTGGTAGTCAACATTTACATGGTTGGTGTCTTGCTGGTTAATGGTGATCTGCGAAGCTGAGGTGCAACCTTCCCACCTCCTAACCAACCCACCTGGCAACTGAGTCTAGTAGTAATCTGCCGGTTGTGGAGAGTGCCGTATTCTAGCTACCAGTGGCTTATCTATCACTTTGTTTTTAGATCGACTCATTGTTGTTTTAGTTGAGTTCTTTTTCCTTTGGAAAGTTATGGATACAATGGAAATTTACTTGAGTCTGTCAGTGTGTAATGTGTATCGCGCTAGTGGTAACTGGAGGGTAGTAAGACCAAACTACTTGAAGCTTAAGTTTGTGTAATTTATTATTTTCGTTGTATTAATTACAAAACATTGTTATGCTTTAACAGTAGTCTGTTAAAATGATCACACAGAGTTGGTCTGGCACAGATAAAACGAATTGTTATACCAATGTAAACTAAAGATATCATTAGCAAAATGATGAAATTGTCCTAACACCACTGACAGTAACAGGACAATTAACAGACAATATAAATACAGCAAGATAAACAGACATATAATGCAGCGGGAGTGTTGAGTCCCTTGTCAAGCACATTAATATAGATATTAGTAAGCAGCCTCACAACTAACCGAACTTATTGTTTAAAGTTACGTGTCTAGTGAGTAGGTTAGTTGTGAATTGTTTCTAGTCACGATATTGTGACTTGTATTCTACAATAGAAGTGAAGCTCCGATAGCCAGATAATGACGGAGAGATTCTGAATGTTATAAGAAATGTTTTTGCGACAATTTCTCCAGGTAAACTCCAGGTTAGTGTCATCAGGAGCATGTTGTGAATGTCAGTTGGACGACGTGTGAAAACTCCTCAGTAGTTAGATGAGGCAACCCAGCCCCTGCGGATGTCCAGCAGGTCCTCGTCCTTCAGCGTTTGCAGCAGCTCCTGGACCTGCTCCTCTGAGCTGTGGTCAAGCATACCGGACCTCACGAAGTCGTCGGTCAGGACCCTTATCTCTCGCAGCTCCTGAGCCTGCTCCTGCCACTTCTGCAGAGCCTCCAGGTGAAGGCTCATTCCCTCGTCCTCCATCTCTTCATTCGTTTCATTTTTAGCAATCTGGAGATGGATGGAATGAAGGGTGAAACACTGGTTGTGTTTAAACTACATACCTCACACAGCAATGAGCATCAACACAACATATGAATCTTGTGCTGTTCTGTGATCAAGTTATCATGAGACTTCGCAACTTACACTCCAGGCAAGGAGAGTAAGGTGTCTGCAGTATTATATATATATATATATATATATATATATATATATATATATATATATATATATATATATATATATATATATATATATTTGTGTGTGTGTGTGTGTGTGTGTGTGTGTGTGTGTATATATTATACATATATATTATTTTTTTTATTATCATACTGGCCGATTCCCACCAAGGCAGGGTGGCCCGAAAAAGAAAAACTTTCACCATCATTGACTCCATCACTGTCTTGCCAGAAGGGTGCTTTACACTACAGTTTTTAAACTGCAACATTAACACCCCTCCTTCAGAGTGCAGGCACTGTACTTCCCATCTCCAGGACTCAAGTCCGGCCTGCCGGTTTCCCTGAACCCCTTCATAAATGTTACTTTGCTCACACTCCAACAGCACGTCAAGTATTAAAAACCATTTGTCTCCATTCACTCCTATCAAACACGCTCACGCATGCCTGCTGGAAGTCCAAGCCTCTGCTGGAAGTCCAAGCCCCTCGCACACAAAACCTCCTTTACCCCCTCCCTCCAACCTTTCCTAGGCCGACCCCTACCCCACCTTCCTTCCACTACAGACTGATACACTCTTGAAGTCATTCTGTTTCACTTCATTCTCTCTACATATCCGAACCACCTCAACAACCCTTCCTCAGCCCTCTGGACAACAGTTTTGGTAATCCCGCACCTCCTCCTAACTTCCAAACTACGAATTCTCTGCATTATATTCACACCACACATGCCCTCAGACATGACATCTCCACTGCCTCCAGCCTTCTCCTCGCTGCAACATTCATCACCCATACTTCACACCCATATAAGAGCGTTGGTAAAACTATACTCTCATACATTCCCCTCTTTGCCTCCAAGGACAAAGTTCTTTGTCTCCACAGACTCCTAAGTGCACCACTCACCCTTTTCCCCTCATCAATTCTATGATTCACCTCATCTTTCATAGACCCATCCGCTGACACGTCCACTCCCAAATATCTGAATACATTCACCTCCTCCATACCCTCTCCCTCCAATCTGATATCCAATCTTTCATCACCTAATCTTTTTGTTATCCTCATAACCTTACTCTTTCCTGTATTCACTTTTAATTTTCATCTCTTGCATACCCTACCAAATTCATCCACCAATCTCTGAAACTTCTCTTCAGAATCTCCAAAGAGCACAGTGTCATCAGCAAAGAGCAAACTGTGACAACTCCCACTTTATGTGTGATTCTTTATCTTTTAACTCCACGCCTCTTGCCAAGACCCTCGCATTTACTTCTCTTACAACCCCACCTATAAATATATTAAACAACCACGGTGACATCACACATCCTTGTCTAAGGCCTACTTTTACTGGGAAATAATTTCCCTCTTTCCTACATACTCTAACTTGAGCCTCACTATCCTCGTAAAAACTCTTCACTGCTTTCAGTAACCTACCTCCTACACCATACACCTGCAACATCTGCCACATTGTTCCCCTATCCACCCTATCATACGCCTTTTCCAAATCCATAAATGTCACAAAGACCTCTTTAGCCTTATCTAAATACTGTTCACTTATGTGTTTCACTGTAAACACCTGGTCCACACACCCCCTACGTTTCTTAAAGCCTCCTTGTTCATCTGCTATCCTATTCTCCGTCTTACTCTTAATTCTTTCAATAATAACTCTACCATACACTTTACCAGGTACACTCAACAAACTTATCCCCCTATAATTTTTGCACTCTCTTTTGTCCCCTTTGCCTTTATACAAAGGAACTATGCATGCTCTCTGCCAATCCCTAGGTACCTTACCCTTTTCCACACATTTATTAAATAATTGCACCAACCACTCCAAAACTATATCCCCACCTGCTTTTAACATTTCTATCTTTATCCCATCAATCCCGGCTGCCTTACCCCCTTTCATTTTACCTACTGCCTCACTAACTTCCCCCACACTCACAACTGGCTCTTCCTCACTCCTACAAGATGTTATTCCTCCTTGCCCTATACACGAAATCACAGCTTCCCTATCTTCATCAACATTTAACAATTCCTCAAAATATTCCCTCCATCTTCCCAATACCTCTAACTCTCCATTTAATAACTCTCCTCTCCTATTTTTAACTGACAAATCCATTTGTTCTCTAGGCTTCCTTAACTTGTTAATCTCACTCCAAAACTTTTTCTTATTTTAAACAAAATTTGTTGATAACATCTCACCCACTCTCTCATTTGCTCTCTTTTTACATTGCTTCACCACTCTCTTAACCTCTCTCTTATTCTCCATATACTCTTCCCTCCTTGCATCACTTCTACTTTGTAAAAACTTCTCATATGCTAACTTTTTCTCCCTTACTACTCTCTTTACATCATCATTCCACCAATCGCTCCTCTTCCCTCCTGCACCCACCTTCCTGTAACTACAAACTTCTGCTGAACACTCCAACACTACATTTTTAAAGCTACCCCATACCTCTTCGACCCCATTGTCTATGCTCTCATTAGCCCATCTATTCTCCAATAGCTGTTTATATCTTACCCTAACTGCCTCCTCTTTTAGTTTATAAACCTTCACCTCTCTCTTCCCTGATGCTTCTCTTCTCCTTGTATCCCATCTACCTTTTACTCTCAGTGTAGCTACAACTAAAAAGTGATCTGATATATCTGTGGCCCCTCTATAAACATGTACATCCTGAAGTCTACTCAACAGTCTTTTATCTACCTATACATAATCCAACAAACTACTGTCATTTCGCCCTACATCATATCTTGTATACTTGTTTATCCTCTTTTTCTTAAAATATGTATTATCTATAACTAAACCCCTTTCTATACAAAGTTCAACCAAGGGGCTCCCATTATCATTTACACCTGGCACCCCAAACTTACATACCACACCCTCTCTAAAAGTTTCTCCTACTTTAGCATTCAGGTCCCCTACCACAATTACTCTCTCACTTGGTTCAAAGGCTCCTATACATTCACTTAACATCTCCCAAAATCTCTCTCTGTCCTCTACATTCCTCTCTTCTCCAGGTGAATACACGCTTATTATGACCCACTTTTCGCATCCAACCTTTACTTTAATCCACATAATTCTTGAATTTACACATTCATATTCTCTTTTCTCCTTCCATAACTGATCCTTCAACATTACTGCTACCCTATATATATATATTATATATATATATATATATATATATATATATATATATATATATATATATATATATATATATATGTACATAGGTAGTAGGTTGGTAAACAGCAACCGCCCAGGGAGGTACTACCGTCCTGCCAAGTGAGTGTACAACGAAAACCTGTAATTGTTTTGCATGATGGTAGGATTGCTGGTGTCTTTTGTCTGTCTCATAAGCATGCAAGATTTCAGGTATGTCTTGCTACTTCTACTTACACTTAGGTCACACTACACATACATGTAAAAGCATATATATACACACCCCTCTGGGTATTCTTCTATTTTCTTTCTAGTTCTTGTTCTTGTTTATTTCTTCTTATTTCCATGGAGAAGTGGAACAGAATTTTTCCTCCGTAAGCCATGCGTGTTGTAAGAGGCGACTAAAATGCCGGCAGCAAGGGGCTAGTAACCCCTTCTCCCGTACAGGTTACTAAATTTAAAAGAGAAACTTTCGTTTTTCTTTTTGGGCCACCCTGCCTTGGTGGGATACGGCTGGTGTGTTGAAAGAAATATATATATATATTAATATATATATTATATATATATATATATATAATATATATATTATATATATATATATATATATATAGCGAGTACAACATCCAGTTCCACTGGATTCATTACTCTTAAGTATCGTATGGTCCAGTGGATTAGGGCGTCATTTGTTTTCGACCACCATAAGGCAGGCCAAAGCAGCATGGGTTCGAGTCCTTGGCTAGTGCTGTGTTGTTATTGATCAATACCACTCGTTCGTGGTCACAATAATATAAAATACTGCTCGCTGTACTAGTACACCAAACAGGGACTAGAGTGAAATTAGCCTAGAGTCATCCATACCATCGTGTGTCCTTGGGTAGCGAATACAACATCCAGTTCCGCTGGAGACGCTACTCTTAAGGATCGTATGGTCCTGTGGATTAGGGCGTCATGTGTTTTCGCCCACCATGAGGCAGGCCAAAGCAGCATGGGTTCGAGTCCTTGGCTAGTGCAGTGTTGTTATTGATCAATACTACTCGTTCATGGTCACAATAATATATATATATATATATATATATATATATATATATATATTATATATATATATATATATATATATATATATATATATATATTATACGCACAGTAGGGCCCCACTTATACGGCAGGTTAGGTTTCAGGCTTCCGCCAGAGAGCAGAACGCCATTTTTTTCCACTTATAAATGCCACATAACAAGTTTATGCTAATGCATATTAAGTTAGCAATAGAACTAGGCATTAAAAAACAATAGAAAGTACAATACACACACAGTATACTCATTACCTACCTTAAAATATTTGTAGTCTTACTGTAGGGTGAGAAGTGAGTAGTATTTATTGTTAGAGATCAGGTGTGGGTGGTACGGTAGCCAGCCACGACACCCCAACCACACGTAATATACTACATTTAAAGCGCACCAGAGAGATAAAATGCATATACAATACACTCATTATTTACCTTATAATATTTGTAGTCTTAATGTAGGGTGAGAGGTGAGCAGACGCGGTAAGACAAATAAACGAGAGTGAGAACGAGTAAATGAGAGAGAAAAGAGACACGGAGGAAGTAAACTGATGAACGCGTCACGTTGTGGTTGATACACATTCATTTACACCTAAAATCTCATATTTTTGTTAATTTATTCTACTGTGGGGTATATTTATCATGTTTATATGATACGTAGCCTGTTTATTATATAATTTTGAAAAACATATCATAGATGGATTAATGAAAATGTTTATATTAACGTAATATACGACATTTAATGCACGTCAGAGTGATTTTATTGTGTATTGTTATTGTTTTATTTTTTTTTATTATTATTATTATATTATTATTATTATTTTTAAAAACTATGGGTCCTCAAGACTAATAAGACACTCTTAGGTTTTTAATTTGTGTCCGCACGCCACACAGTGCTAACTTTTTAGGGAAGATACACACAAATGTATAAAAAAAAGAGTATTTAAAAAAATGAAATAACTTTAAAACACTTTAAAATTTTTGGGCCCGTTTCCAGACATAAAGGGGGGACGCGGTGCTCATGGGAATTAAAAAAACGTATTAGAAAGTCAGGCGGGGGAGCCGAAAAAGGGTTTTGGTCATAATTTGAAGTATCCGTATTAGTGGAACGCCGTAAAGCGGACCTAGTGATATATATATATATTATATATATATTTATATATATATATATATTATAATATATATATATATATATATATATATATATATATTGTTTGCAGTGTTATATATATAATTGTAGTGTTATACTTAGTTGTCATGACGTGCGACCAACAGTAACAGCCTGGTTGATCAGGCCGATCCACCATGAGGTCTGGTCACAGACCGGGCCACGGAGGCGTTGACCCCAAAACCCTCTCCAGGTATACTGAATATATTTACTACAAGTACTGTGCAAGATATACAGACCATAGCTGACATCAATTAGGTCAGTTTTGTCCCAGGATGCGACCCACACCAGTCGACTAACCCCTGTACCATTTTACTGATGGGTGAACAGAGATAACCGCTGTAAAGAAACACGCCCAAGGTTTCTACCCTAGCTGGGAATCGAACCCTGACTTCGCCGTGTGAAGCAAGAGCTTTAGTCACCAGGCCACGGGGCGCCGTAAGAAAATGTGCAACCTTGGCCCGTGTGGGGATCGAACCCACGACATCCGCGTTATTAGCACGGCGCTCTAACCAACTGAGCTAACAGGCCTGACATGCGGTGAACGTTCAAGTGTTGCAGCTGTGTCTTATACATCAACGTACACCCAGGGCTGGGCGAGACCTTGCATGCCCTGAAAGCCGGAGATGTTTCTGGACATGGGCTTGCAGGCGTGCGAGCGGAGGGTGGGCGTGTGGGCGTGCGAGCGGAGGGCGGAGAGGAGGCGTGGTACACACGGGATGCCGCGGTACTCATCTTGTGAAGATTTTTCTCCTGAGGGAAAAAATCAAGAAATTAACATGATTATTAAACACGATAATTTAACATGACAGTTAGTTTAAGTTTAATATGTTTATTATACACCCATACCCATCCTGTGGGCGGTAGTAAAAAGTTTACAGAGGAACATAAGGGGTCCGGGGCGGGGCCTAAGGGTTTTGTTTAGCTGAGCAAGTTACAGAGGTAATGAATTCAAAATTTTCCCAAAGGTAATGAATCAAAATTTAAAAAGGGTTAATGAATTTCCGGGTTTGGGTCTAGTAAAATTCATGAAAATTTTACAAGGTTTTTAAAGGATTACAGAGGTACACAATGGGCCCGGGGAAACCGGGCCCCAAAAGGTTTTGATGGCTGAACTAGGTACAAGGTAATAAATCACAATTTAAACAAAGGAAATGAACTCAAAAAAGTTAAAAAGGGAAAGGGAATACTTTTAGAATGGTTACTTATTTTTATACTTGGCTGAATCATGAAAAAATTTTTAGAGTAATGACCCAATTCACACTTCCAAACCCGGCCCAAAAACTTTTAGTGAGTTATTGGGGGAAAAATTTGATTGGGTTTCTCTCTCTACAAAAACACACACCACAAAAAAAATTTCATACACACCCACAAATAATCCCCACACACACACACAACACACACACACACACACACACACACACAAAACACACACACACACAAAAATACACAAATAATACACACACACGCCCCACCACTCTACCACAAAACCACCACTCATACACAAAAACACACTATACTCACACACACACACAAAACCCCAAAACCCCCCACACCAACACACACACCCCACACCACACACACACCCAAACTTTAAAACCACAAACACACACACAACACAACACACACACACACACACACACACACACCCCACCCCCACCACACACACACCACAAAAAAATTCACATATGTGGTAATGTTTATTTACAGCTGCAAATTTCAGGGTATTTCCCCAGAATGGTCTGTAATTTACCATTTGTGGAAAAAATTATTTAGCCATTTCTTGACACTTCGGGAGTGAGTTGTTTCAAAAATTTTTTTAATTTGATTTACACTGACAAAATTGACGCAAGGTGGGGACAATGCCCATCTGGCAAAGTTTACTTTTCGTTTGGTTAATCTGGTGGGGGTGATTTAACTGCCAAAAGATACTTGAAAAACCCACCCGGAGCGGGGCGGTGTGACCCCAAGAGTCTGCTTTTTTGGTTGGATGCACCATGACATTGTGGCTCCTCCTGCATGATGAATGATGATAGATGGACTCATTGGTGTCAATCTCCCTGAGTTTTAAAGTAATAAATTTCAGTTGAAGTTTTTTTCGTATTTTTTTTTTCTCAAACTATTTCCTGACAAGCCCAAAATTGTTTTTTTTACCCCTCTTTGAAAAACATACAGCTTAGCCAATTTAAACAGTTTATCATGCATCTGAAGGGCCAATGTGGGGATGGAATCACAGCCCTGTGCACTCTGAATCCCCCTGTCCACAATCCTACATACCTGTGTCTGGCTTCTGACACAAGCCCTGCCACAATTTATGTTTTTTGGGGTTGAGAGCTTTATGGATGACAGAGAATCGTTACAATTAAAAACTGTCAAAATTGGGCAACATGATTATTTAAATGATTTAATTCCTTCTTTTTACCTTCGCATTTTATATAAAAATTTTTAAAGGGGAAAAAACCAATGTATGACCTTCCCCTACGATTAGGGATTTAAAAATAATAATAATAAATAATTTAAAAAAATAATAATAATAATAATAAATTTCTCCCTAAAGTTTAAAAAGAAAACGTAAACTATTGAAGGGGGAAACTTCCAAGAACACCGTGGCTCCCCTCCATCAACTGGGGTGTATTCCCCCCACTCGCTGTAGCTTTATACAAGTGCCACTAAATTTGCTGCCGATAACACTGTCGTAAACAAAAGGCACTTTTTTTTCCGCACTTTAAGCCACTTTTGGGGTTTTTCCCAAATTAAGAGGTGTCGTATTTTCTTTCTTTTTTTTCTTTTGGGGGAGGTGATGGTGTCATTGGGATTATTAATCTGGAAAAAATATAAAAAATTTGCCCAAAAAAAAACATGCAGAGCTATGAAAAATTTTTTAAAGGGGTTTGTTTCGCCAAAACTGGTTTTTTTTTTAGTTATAATTCAAAAAACTTCTTAAAGGGAAAGGGTTTTATATAAATGTTTTTTCTGAAGGGGTTGGGGAGGGTTTGAGGGTGAGGCAAAGAAAGGGGGAAAAGGGGGGAAAGAGGTAGGTGGGGAAGGTAGGGGTGAGGCAGGGGGTGAAATAAAAGGAGTGAGGTTGAGTGGGGAAAGGGAGGGGAAAATGAGGGAGAGGGGTTTAAAGGGAGAGGTGGTGAAGTAGAGGAGGTAAGAAGAAAAAGTGTGTGAGGCAGAGGGAAGAAAAAACCCCAAATAAATAAAAATTAATTTCACTAATTAAAAAAAGTAATGATAGATAACAGCTTTTTTTTTTTAGCTCTCTAGGTGATTCTCTTTTATTATCTATGACAAATAATTCCCATGATACTGGGGCATGTTCCATTAGGTTCCCTTCCACTTGTCACTCCTCTTTCCCGCTCTCCCTTCCCCACTTCTTTCCTCAGCCAACTCTTCCTTCCCCACACAGGGACACTCTGAGAAAAGACGACGAATTAGTGTTTGGTTGGACATTTAATCAATTCCTACCATTATGAGACAACTGTCTCCTCTCGCCTCCTTCCCGTCTACATCTTCGGTAGAGACTACCAGACAACTGTCTCTCCCTCCCGTCTTCGTATTCAGTACACACTACCAGACGGCTGTCAACCCTCGCCTCCTTCCCGTCTATATCTTTGAATTTATTCTTTCGTGAAATACACGGAATAAATTTCAAGTGTTCCAGAGAGCTTGCAAGTTTATAATGCACCCACAGAAACTTCTTCTCTGGCAGCGATGAAAGCCGGACTAAAATTAGGCCCATGTGAATCTTAACAGAGCTCCAGGAGACGTTAAAAAAAATGACATGTTCAGTTAGTAGCAGTCGTCAGATGATAACTCACAAGAACGCTAGATAACACCAAGAGAACGAGATTACCCTGAATAAAATTGAAACCGATAGTGCCAGTCTAATCAGACCAGCAGTATAATTTGATAATTGCTTTATATTTACACCTTGCACATGACTAAGGATGATCAGATAATAATAATAATAATATTCATAATAATAATAATAATAATAATAATAATAATAATAATAATAATAATAAATAATAATAAAAATTAATAATAATAATACACAAATAACCCGCATATAGAAGAGAGGAGCTCTTCGTCCTATCATATCCTCTAGAGGTTCTGTCTCTTATTCTCTTGCTTCTTGGCTGGCCAAAACCCTCACTCCCTTTCTTGGTGCTTTTTCCTCCTGCCCACCTCCGTCACTCTTCAAGATTTCATTGAACGGGTTCGCTCTCTCCCAACCTGTAAGATGCTTAGTCTTGACGTTGAGTCCTCTTCACCAATGTCCCTCTTGATGATGTCCTTGATTTCCTTAGAGAGAAGGCCCTTGAAGGGTTTCTACTCTCCCTATACCTATTGAAGTCTTTCTTGAGCTTATTTGTCTCTGTGTGGACTCTAAATTTCTTTTTCCTTCCAAGGGAAATTTATTCTCAAGCCTTCGGTGTCGCTATGGGCTCTCCTCTCTCTCCTGTCCTTGCTATCTTTACATGGAATACTTCGAGACTGTTTCTCCTTCCTACCATCGATGTGCAATCTTCACTCTGGCTCCGCTATGTGGATGACATCTTTTCTCTGTGGACTCATGACTCCAATCTCTTCCAACCTTTTCTTGAAGCTCTTAATAATCTTGCCCCTTCCATTAAGTTTAAAGCTGAATGGGAATCTAATTCCCTTGCTTCCTTTCCTTGATGTCCATGTCCACCGCTCAGATACAGGTTTTTCCTTTTCCGTTTACCGAAAACCTATGCACAGTGGCATGTACATTCACTACTTTTTCTATCATGCTTCCCCTGTCAAGAAAAGTGTTCTTATTCCCTCTTTCTCCGTGCCCTCCGCATCTGTGATCCTCAGTTCCTTCCAGCAGAAATTTCCACTCTTCATAATTCGTTTTCCCGTCTTGGCTACCATTCCCATTTCATAGACTCTGCCTTCTCACGAGCTAAACGTAATTTCTTCTCTCCCAAACTCTCTACTCCTGGGAACTCTTCTGTCCTCTGCCTTCCCTACATTTCCGGTCTTTCTAATCTCAACAATTCTCTCCGTCCCTTAGACATCATGCTTACTTTCCACCAGACTAAACATCTTCGCACTAATCTCGTTTCATACCTCTCCTCCCTCTCCAGATGTTCCTGGTGTCTACTCTATTTCTTGCTCCTCTGTCCTCTTCAATACTTTGGAGAAACTGCCGATCTCTTTCTGACAGACTTAGGGAGCACAAAAATAGTGTTAGGCTTTGGTTGCAAAACCCCTGAATGGGTCACAAGTATATGATGTATATTATGTATATGTATATAATGTATATTACCTTTTCATATAATTTTATATTGCTTATATTTGCGATAATAGCTAAATCGTAAATATATTGCTTTATATTATTATTTGACTTAGTTACTTTTGTTAGGCATGTAGGATGTAACATTCATATATTATTATGTGCTCATAGTTCAAGTCTTGATTGTCTAACTACTGTAATTATCGCTTATGGCTCGTTAATCTGCCGGCTTCGGTGTTGCTGTGCAGCAACTGTCCACGGAGCTATCACGTGATCGAGGGGGGTGTACACACCTCGCCTGAAGTGTTCAGTCTGGGCTAGACTCTCTTGGTGGTTTGACGTATTCTTGACAAGACGTGCCTAAATCTCCCTTATTGGCCCTTGTTGGAAGATCGTCTCTGTCTCATTATTGTTGTAGGTTCTGTGGGACTCTGTTCACAGAACACTGTATAGACTTAGTGATTTTCGACGTTGTACTGAG